TGGGTGACTTTGGGTCAATCACCAGGAGATGGTGAGTTCTAGTCCTGAAATCTAGCCCATGAACTCTGGCTGGGTGACTTTGGGCCAATTACCAGGAGATGGTGAGTTCTAGTCCTGCCTTAGGTGTGAAAGTCACCTGGGTGTGACTTTGGGCCAGTCCCTCTCTCTCTCAGCCCAACCCACCTCACAGAGTTGTTGCTGTGGGGAAAATAGGAGGAGGAAGAAATATTAGGTATTTTCACTGCTTTGAATTACCCTATAGTTATAAAGGCGAGATAAACATCCGATAAATAACAAACAAAAAGTGAGGGACACAGGCAGGTAAACCCACAGATGCATCAACAAAGGGATAATGAAAAAAAAAAAAAACTTTGTTTAAGAACTTTCAAAATAAGGCATGTTTGCCCGTAATTGAATTTGCAAACGCCAGGCTTGAGCTGGGAAAGGCAGTGGGGTTTGCAAATTCAGTGCTATTTTTGTGTGGTTTTTTTGGGTGTGCGGGGGGCAAATCAACGTTATTTGGACTCCCCTTCATTTCTCTCCTTAGAAGTCCGCTGGGAGTGATAGAGGCCAGGCATGAGCGACTCTCTATTTGGTTCCCTAACATTATTTTAATTAAAAAGAAAAATAGTTAAGAGAGGGATAAAAAGACAGAAGAGGAAAGAAAGCCTCACCATTAAACCGATTCTTGGATTAACCCATCTTCCAGGTGGCACAAGAAGCCAGTCGATAATCTAAACAAGAAGGCTGGATTTGCACAACGCACAAGCTACCATTTAACATGGTTAGCATGGCACGCAAACGCATCGCCTGTGTTAAGTTACAGGCCTGATGCTGGCTTCCTGCACTGAGAATGCGAACCCCAAAAAGGTATTTCTTTTTTGCTAGGGGTATCGGTTTGGTTTCGTGAATGAATTAGAACCAGCTTATTAGACAAGGCGATGGGATAACTGTGATTGCCCAGGATGTCCAAAATTCGGCCATCGTTTCAGCACGGGGGACAGGAAACAAGGTTTGTTCACTGAAGTCTGTATTCACAAGAGGGTCCCAGGAAATGTCAAAAGTGGCCACCCACTTGTAAGGTTTAGAAAATCTGAGCCATGGGGGCGGTAATTTGATCTAAATGTTGATTTAAGGATGGGTCAGTCGGGAATCCGGTCCCACCTATTCTATTAGGATCTCCCAGGAAAAGGGGAGGAAGAGGAGGAGGAGGGGAAGGGGAAGAAGGGGAGGAAGGAGAGAAAAGGGAGGAGAAAGTGGAGGGGAAGGAGGAGGAAAAGGAGAAAGGAGGGCGGAAGGAGGAGAGGAAGAAGAAAGGAGGAGGAAGGAGGAGAGGAGAGAGAAGAAAGGAGGAGCAGAGGGAGGGTTGAGGGGAAAAAGAGGAGGAAGAGAAGGAAGGAGGAGGAGAAGGAGTAGTAGTACTAGTGGTAGTAATTTATTTTCCCAAACAATAAAGTTTCCCTCTCTTGCCTAACTTCAAACAATTCCCTCTGCCCCAAGTCAGCTGGAATGGCAAAGCTGCTGGAAGCTTTATTGACTTTTCTGGGCCTTTTTTTACCTGCTTTCTTCTCCCCCACCCCCCCACCCCCCTCCTCTGTTCAGAGCCTTCATAAATATTCGCCCTGTCAATTTTCTATCGAGCTGCGACCAACAGGCGTTTGCAAAACTGGATTCGGGGTTCGCCAAGAAACGGGCTAATTGGCCAGCTTCAAATCTCCAGCTGACTTCTTTTAGCCGTGGCCAGAGCGGCGCAATAAACAAAGATGTTGCCAAGATTCATGGAGCCCTGGTTTAATTAAGACTCCTTGGGGCTTGGGAGGGGAAGAGAGAAAATGAAATCGGAGCCCCTCGCTTTGAGCCAGGAAGAAAGCAGACTTTGCCTGCAAGCCGTGATTTTCTTAATCGATGGGCCAAATAGTGAAAAGCGCAACGCGCCGTCGCGCCATCTGAGATTGGTGCTTGCCTTAATAAGAGCATCCCTCTCGGAGCCTCTGGAGGTGGGAAATGTTTCAGGGGTTTGGGGGTTTATGCTGGCACATGGGGGAAACGAGCAGGCGGGAAAATGCCGATTTCGAGCGGGTGGGCAAGTTAGGATTCAGTCCCGCCTGTTCTATTAGAAAGGACCATGAAAGGAAGAAGGAGGGAAGGAGGAAGGAGAGAAAAGAAGGGAAAAGAGGAGAATTAAGGATAAGATAGGGGAGGAGAGAAGAGAAAAGAAGAGAAGAGAAAAGAAAAGAGGAGAATTAA